CTGCCACTGAGCCACAAATACCTCCATTCTCATACACGCCTAGGACTCTGGGGCACTTTCCTATCTAATCAACCTTCCTGGAGACACAGGCTCAAAGCAAGAAGTGGAGGGGTCAGCAGAATCCTGCTGGGTGGGAGCACAGGAGTAAGGGAGCCAACCCCACAGAGGGAGATTGAATCAGGGGCTCACAACGGCTCACAAGAGGTCTTCAGAGCAGAGAAATTGAGGCTCAAGACTCGCCAAGGTCATGGGACTCCATGTCCACTACTCATCCCAAGTTCTTCATCACTGAGGATCACAAAGGGGCTTGGAATTTGGGACAGCAGTCCATGAACCTCCTGAATCATATACAAAGTCTCTTTAGTGGGAACACATATTTTTTCTGGAAGGCAAAGTCATAGCTTTTATAACATTTTCCCTGCCCAAAGAGCCACTGCATCATAACAAACTCCCTTCCCAGAGCTCAGGTCCCACCTCTGCCAGTGACTCTGCAATTCATCTTTCAGGAACTTCAGTTTAATTCTCTGCTAAATTCGTTTCTTCAGCGAATTTCTCTCTCTTTCTCTCTCTCTCTTTCTTTCTTTCTTTCATTTATCTTTTTTTTTTTTTTAGTGCCTACAGCACCTGGTATTCCTAGGTAGTCTCCCATCCAAGTACTAACCAGGCCCGACCCTGCTTCGTTTCCAAGATCAGACAAGATCGGGCACATTCAAGGTGGCATGGACGTAGACCCTTCAGTGAATTTAGCAGAGAATATAGCCACACTTCTGGTCAGATGCAAACACCTTCCCTCTGTTTTTCAGGGATTCTGTATCAAATGAGTGTTATCATAAGCTCAGAGGAAGACTAATAGACCGCGGCCTAGTCCCAGCTCTGCCACCCCCTGGCTAAGTGCCCTTGGACAAACTATCTAAACTCCAGGCCTCAGGTTCCCTCATCTAGAAAATGGGGATGAGACTTAATAAAATCTGACCAACAAGGTAGCAGTGAGGCCAAATCACAGTCACATACTGAAAAAGCATTATGAGAAGTACAGCAACGTGAACAGTGCAGGAACCATCGCTTCTAGCCAGCACTCCTGCTCAGACGCCACCTCAGGGTCTTACCTACTCATTTCTTGCCACCAAAAGGAAAACACAAAATTAGCTACCACAGAGATGGAAAGGGCTGCTGGTAGTTGAGGAGGCTCCAAAGACACTTCTACCAACCGCACAGACCCTGGAGGAGGTCAATGTTGAGATCACCAGGACACCACTGGGCCCGCAGTGAGAGACACAGCTGGCAGTTCGGAGTGTCTACTCTACAAACGGCCAGGACCCAGACAACAGCACCTAAGAAAACCCAAGGGGACCCAAACCCAAGGGGACCCCAAGGGCTCTCATCAATATTCTTGAGTACTACTCTGGCCAGAGGAGAACAGCAAGAGGACCTCAGGCAGGGTCCCTGTGAGCTGCTTCTCATGGCCTCAGGGCTCTTCTGACTTAAGACAAACCAATTTCTCAGAAAAGTCCACTCCGGGTACCACTCCCCGTTGTATGTGGTCAACATCAGGGCACTCTGGCTTATAACAATGAGCCAAGAAAGCTGAAGTTGCCAGATGTGTGGGGGAAAATAGACTGTGACTCAAATAAAAACTCATCAATTCAAAGAAAATTTAAACTCCCTCCCAGCTGAGTCACCTGGTTCATTCCAGGCCCTACAGCCTGGCCTTGACCTGAGAAGAGCCTTTAATGTCACCCTGATCCATCAGGAAGGAGAGACAACTTGCAAGGAACAAAAAATCATTTCCCCAAGAAAGCTGAGACCAGGCTCTTCCTGATGGACAGAGGTCCTTTCAAGTCCAGAAGAACCAGGTGCTCCCTCCTCATCCCTGCCCTGCAACCACTGACTATTTACTACCCCCCAAGGTACCAAGTACCAAGTCTGGGCTGCACAGTCTCCCCCACAAACCGTGAGAACCTCTGAATCTCCTTGATCAAAAACAAAAGGCCAGTCACTGCATACTCTCATTTACGCTCCATTTTATCTTCTAAAAAGGATTTAAGGTAACTAGTTAACTGACATTAAATCACCTGGCTCAAGATGACCTAGCAAAAATGAAATCACTGAAAGAATATGGTCCAGTATTCCACGGCTATTCCAGACCAGGTTGCTCACTGACCCCAAATTACCTATTTTTTCTTACCCACAGTTCTTTATCTCCTTATTCAATTAGCATGTGTGCCTACTATGTGCAAGGTATTGTGGGAGCTACAGAGATGAATAGCTCTGTGGATGAATGGTCTCTGGCATGGAAAAAATTAATAAGCTGTGGTTGGAAAGACAAACCTGAATGATAAGTGAGTCAGAATAGGTGTGGACAAATGATGCCACGAACCTGTGAGGCTGAGCCTTAGTGAGGTCAGGAGCACTGATTCTGGAATCAGTTACGACTCGTGTTGAGATCCTAATTCTACCACCTACAGGCTGTGAAGTAGGCTGTGAAGTAGGCTGTGAAGTAACCTCTCTGTGCCTCATTTTCTCCATCTGCAACAGAGAGTTAACATGCCTTCTCTACAGGGTCACTGAACCTACAGCACTCCGCACAGGGGCCCAGCACACGGAAAGCCTCCAACAGAACCTTTGTGTAGGTTTTTAGACACTGAGATTGAGGAGCAATCAGAGTGCGCAGAAAACAATCATAAAAGTCCTCTACGAAGGAGAACTTAAAAGATGAACAGGATGTGAGTGGGTAAAATAGACTTGCTTTGCAGGCAAGAGGAAAGAAGTCCAGAAAGAGGCTGTAGCAATAATACCAGCAAGAAGGAATGAGTGCTAAGTAGACAGTAGCCATGAGAATAGACAGAACACGTGAAGACTTGAGAAGAACAAAAAGGTTTCCTTTTCTTAGTTTTCTTAATATTTCTTAGTTTCTTTATCTTTTAGTTTTCTGTCACCCCTACAACTCAGTGCTATCTCTTAACTCCTTCAGAATTGACGTTCCCTTCCTGTCCCCATTCATCATTCCATCCCTCCTCCCACATGACCTGACTCATGTACAGGAAGTGGATCCCAATCCAGAAAAAAGGGTTTTCATTCTAAAATCTGTGAATCCTGGGCCTCAATCAGTGTAACCTCATTTCTTCGTAGCACCTTCTAAATGTCCATGCCAACCTCAGCAATCTCTACACAATTCAGCTGCCATTCCTTAATAAATTACTGAAAGCCGACCCATGCAAGCTTTCCCAGCCACCATAGTTTCAAGGTGGCAGACCAAACCACAAATTCCTAGTGTCTCACATTTACTACAGTATTAAACTTAGTTAAAAATCATTAATGTCTCTGAACGATACCTCCAAAAAATAACACAGACTACCTATATCAAGAGATTGACTTAAAATAGGCATGCTTACCCATCCCCAACTCTAAAATAAAACCATTTGCATAGACAGCAGTCAAAGACTTGCCGTACAAGAATTGACCATCCATAGGTTTAAAAAAAATAAAAAGGCACAAGACTTCTATCAGGTAGAAAGATCAAATTCACCAACTATTTTTCTATGGCTAATGTACCTCTTAGCCTCCTCCCCGACCTCCAGCTCAGAAAACCCTATGATCACCACCACAGATTTTCCCAGAAGAACCGCATCGCAAGTGGAACCAGTCACCTCACCTTTCACTACAAAAAGTTTACCAGGCCATAAATATCATCTGCCAGTTTCTCTTTTCTCAGCCCTAGAGGGGACACAAGAACTGGTCAATTTCCTCAGCATTCCACTCCAAGGGCATTCACTTTTCAGTCATAGCAGAATTTCATCACATTGAATATTCTCAAAACCAGGCAGCCTCCAGCTGAGTCTCTAACTCCTCTTATTACAGAGGAAATTTTCACCATAAGATATTCATGGTAATGGGATTTGACCACTTGTGAAACTCAACCAGATGGGTTCTGGTCTCCTAGGCCAGTTTCAAACTCTGCATGCAGGGGACGCAGATGGCCTGGCCAAGTGGGTGGGCCCTGATGACGTTTAAGAAACCAACCTCCATTCCCCAGAGCTTGGGGCTTGGGGACCATTCCTCCCCACTTCATGCATAAGTACAAGACGAAATAGTTCACCTCTTACATGCACGTGTGCGCACACAGGCACACATACATACACACTAAACTGTCTCAAGGCCAACAGGACTAAAAGGAGGCCAGGAAGATCTTCAGACACTTCCCCTTCCATCTTCCCCAGAAGATCCTAACCTGTTACAGCTGATCATAAAGTCTGACTCCAACTCAAGTTTAGAGTCCAATTTTCTTTTGAGATGGGCTGGCACTGGAGATGGACATGCGGCAGACATGTCTCTTATAAGCGTTTCATCTTAAGAAACTCATCCAGATAAAGAATGAATGATAGGATAGAAAGCACTACAATGTAATGAAATTAACTACCTTCACAAGAGTATTTTGAACACAGTATTATGAACCAGCCAAGGACCTCAAAGTAAACATCATCTTAGTAGACACAACATGAGCCCCCACCAAACACGCACACACACACCCCAAAACATAATTTGAAAGATCACTCCCTGAAAAGTAATACAGGAGTCCATTTCAACAAATTTGTGCTCAATACCCCTTCTACTCCAAAACACAAGTTTCGTATTTGCTTTTTGGGGGGTTGTGGTTCATTTTTTTCGTTAAACCAACACCAAAGAGGCAAAGGCCCCTCCCAGTTAACTGTCCACTCTGAACATAAACCTCACATGGTTGAACCTACACAACACCACTAAATTCTCCAGATAGATATCTATGCTCTTTTGCATAATTACAACATCATGAAATACCGTTCACCAAGTTAGAACGCTGCTGGAGAAGGATACGGGGCGAGGGCAGCAAAGAGGTGGGCAAAGAAAGAAAGGCAAGGAAAAAACAAAACCCACTGCCAACTGGCCATGTATTTGCTTTTGGTCCTAAAGAAGTTAGAGCTATCCAACCCTGTAATTATTGCCAGGATTAAAATTTTGTTACTCACGTAATCATGAAAGGCTTTTGCTTCACTTGAATGTTCACAAGTGTCTCGCCTTTCAGGAGCTGCACAGTAAAGGTCCCAAAATACGCTGCAAGTTGAAAAATAAAATAAGATCGGGTTACTAATTATGACTTGTGTATACAATGGCAAGCGCACAATGCACAGTGCTAATAGCACCAGGTCTCCCAAAGGCTCAACCCTACCTTTCCAGCCTTCATTGGGCAAACTCAGCCTAGAAAACAAATGGACCTAACCTCTTCTGGCAAGCCAGCCATTTGTAATAAGAGTAATAGTTCTCATCTATCAGGCACCTACTATATGTCGGATGCCTCACACCCATGATTCTGCTTGTGACTACCACAGCACTGTAAGATGGGTGATTTATCCCCACTTTATACAGGGGGCATGGAAGCATGGACAGGTTAGTACAACCCACTCACGGATGCCCAGACAGGACAAGTAGGACTCTGAATGAAAATCCATGCCTGCCTCATCTGTGCCCCTTTCACTGTTCCCCACCCCCACTCAACCCAAAATGGCTGCATTTAGTAAAAAGATTAAATTGTCAAAGTCAGGACTATGATTCATACGTGCAGCAAATTGGGCAGTAAAGGGAACCTATAGGTTCTTAACCCAGGATCTCATACCCTCAACTCCTCCCACCTCAGCCAGGCCCTCCCCCAAAGTATTCCACACAAGAACCACTCCACCCCTGCCCACCAAAGAATATGTGTCAATGAGCCAAAGGTCAACCCAGTATCTTGTCCTGTCATATTGAAATAGAGAGCCCTCCTCAGAAAGGCACCTGTGCAGCAAAAAGGGGGATCTGAGGAGTGGGAGCCCAAGATATCCCCCTCCATGATTTTGTATGATCACTCCACCTCTTGGTATAACAGGAGAACAGACATACAAGTCCTTTGTCAACCAGTAAAACCCTGTGCAAACATGAGGTAGTCACTGTATTAACAAGGAGCCTTAGAAACTCTCTCCAGGTCAGAAACCCAAGGTCCGGAGCTGGGAACTGATTGAAGGGTAAAATGGGCACCAGAGAGGAAGTCTGAATCCTGGTCAGTGCTCCTGTCCCCATCACAAACATACAGCACAGAAAAAACCATCTCAACTGCCAGCTCTGCCAGTCATCAGACAAGCATCTCGCTCAAGGTGTATGAATAATGCAGCATCTCTAGATCAGCTCCACCCCTTCCTCCCACCCCCAAAACCCTGGTCATTTGCTCAATATCAAATCATATAAAGCAACTTGTAACTACCAAGACCACAGCCAGAGGCACCACAGCCTAAGCCGGGCACAGCAGACAGGCTGGATAAGTTCCGGGGAGATTATGGATAGAACAGGAAAATCAGGGACTTCTACTAGCTGCAGAGGGGGGCTGAAGAACATTCCTTTCTGTCCTCTGAAGCTGCACATATTTGATTAACTCCTCCACACACTAAAGATTTCTAACACTATAAACTCCCCAGCCCCTTCTAAGTAACTCAGACTCATAAGCCTAGGTTTCTGCAAAACCCATGATGGTCAGACTGGCCAACCCCATCCACACACTCCTCTCCAAAAACAACCACAGTAAACCTATCACCCTCTCCAGCAGGTAGAAGTCTTACACCACACCAAATGCCTCTAACACTGGCAGTTTCGAGGTTGGCAGAAGTAATTAAAAACTTATTTTCCCTGCACAAGTTAGAACAGACACTTCATCCCATCCCCCACCCCCCCACATTTCAAAGAGACTTGAAACAGTAACTCGAGCTGGCGGTCAGGTAAACGTGCTAAGATCCCAAGACGGGGCACTCCGTTTTCCTGAACTCTACCAAAATATCAAAAGCCACTCTGCTTTCTTTTCCTTTTCAAAAGGATGTCAAAGACTGCACTGATCAGTTCCACAAAACACCCAAGTCTTAAGGGCACTGCGACTAGCTCCCACTGACCCTAAGTCTCCCTCCTGCCTGCTGCAAACCTACACCAGCTGAGTTGGTCCCCCACCAGCCAGGCTGAGGGGCCCGGGAGAGGGTCACAAATAAGAGAGCCCCTAACTGCCAACTACAGGCAGACTGAGAGGTCAATGCCAACCAGTCAAAGTTCTCGGTAAAATGAAACTCTGTGGTTTTAGGGATGCTGGGGGTGGGGGCAGGGCCCACAGAGGAGAGGAAGGTCCAGTCAGTCTGAATCAGTATCTTTAAAGGAAGTGGCAGCCCCTTCTTGCCTTTTCTCAGGGTGCCTGGAAAAGGCCAGAATAGATTCTCTCTCTCAAGGTTTTGAGCTCATAGTAGAAAAAAGAAAAGACAGGCCAGTTTGTAAAACAGACCTGGTATCCCCTCACCCCGCCCCGCCCCCACCCCCTCTAATTAAAGCAGCATGCAAAACTGACAAAAATCCTTCAAAGTTTTTTCAAGCCTGCCCAGTGGCCCAGAGTGAGATGGAAAAGTAAGGAGTTTCTAGCCACACACCAGGCACAATTTAGTAGGTTCTCAACAGGAGGGTAAAGAGGAGGCAAAAACTTTAGGCGCTAGCCTCTTCTGCTCTTTTCCTCCCTCACCAGTCCTAGTTTGAATGCCCAGAGGTGCCCTGTACTGTGCAATGCTGAGACTAATACACGGGGGGGCCTCCTCCCGTCTTTGTTCACTTGGACCCGGGACGCAAAACAAAACAAACACAAACACAAAACTATCACACAAACTTACCACCACCATGAGTGCAAAAACCCAGGCGGTTCTCCCAACGTGATGTTTTTTTCCCATCGAATCTGGAAAGGAGAAAGCAGAGACAGCTTAGAGGAGCAGAGGGGAGGGGTGGGCTGGGGGCTTCCCAAAGCCAAAAGGCTGTGAAGACCAAGTAACAATAAATGCCAAAAGGTGATAAAAATTCAAAATGGTGGCCACAGTGGCTGCTCCTGAAAACAAAGGCTCTAAGAATAGTGGGGAGGAGGGGGTGTCAAGAAATTGGATGATGGGGGAAGTTCCACTCACCTCCGACAAGAAGGTCTGTGCAGATTTCTGTGCTCCTACGTGCAGTAAATATTCGTAGACGTATAAAGCTAACCTGAAAAGTAGGCAGGGGGGCACAGAGAGAGAGGAAAGGCATCAGAACACACGGGGCGATCGCTCCTGAACCTTGCTTGCCGGTTTCCAGCCCTGTCTGCGCTGTCCCATTGTGGCCCCGAACAGAGGTAAGCAGCTAGCTCGGCTCCAGGGCCGCGGGTGCAAGCAGTTAAGAGGTGGGTACCAGGGGAAGCGTTATCGCACGCCGTGGGGGCCTAGAGAGCAGCCCCCAAACTTGAACTTCCAAGTGGTGTCGGGGCCAAACCCACTTAGGTGTCTCAAACTCGCAAGCCACCCGACCCCAGAGCCTCCCTCCTTTTCCAGACCCACTCCTTGCCACACTCTCTCCAGCTTTGAGGGTCCGGGGACTCAGTCCTGGACTCCGTGGTGCTCGGTGAGCTCTGGAGAGGGCAGCAAAGCGCCGCCCTCACCACCTCCCACCAAACAACTGTCCCCCAAGCCTAGGACCAAGCCGGGCCCCTGTCCCTGCCCAGCCCGGCGCCCCGGAGGGTACGGGGCCGACGGCGAAGCCGAGGGCAGGGAAGGGAGAGCGCTCCGGGCCGAACAAAGCCCCCGGCACGCACTCCTCACGCCGCGGGCGGACAAAAGGAGCCTTCGGGGATGCAGAAGCCACGCGCCCCCTGCCCGCGCCCGGTGGGCAAAGTGCGGCCACCGCGGTGAGCGCCCCGGCTCGCTCGCGGGACCTCGCCCACCGCTCACCGCGGGCTCCCGCGCCCGGCACGCCCCACGGGCCACCAAGCGCCCCCTCCCTCGGC